CGATTGTTCAAACGATTTTGCTATATTTGGTACGAAAACGTTGATGATACGAGGATGAAGATATACGGAAATCCGTTTCAAATAAAGTTATCGTGAATCGAACGAGTTGTTGTAACTTTCTCATGCGGGCATTGATATCACTATCGAACATGTTCGTCGCGGCATCAATGTCACCGTATATTCTGCCAAACGACAAATGAAACGCTATGAATACGTTAATTTTTTTTTTTTTTTACGATAAAATCCGATAATAATATTAAAATCATTTATATTTTACGGCCCAAAATTTGGAGATAAGTCAACATCGAAATTCCAAATAAATTTAAAACTAATCGTATCGTTTGAACCTACTGAATAAAAATCTGAATTTGAATTAAATTTAACCACGGTGAAGAATATAAATAAAAGTTTCGAAAAATTAAGAATTATAATATTATAAATAATTACGCGAATTACACGTATAAAAATTATTTCAAACAAATAATTACGTAAATATATCAGTCACGAGCATCTATTTTATATTCCTTCCGTCGCACTATTTAAAAATCTTCGAATCGAAGAAAACTTATGCGAAATCAATTTTTTTTTTTTTTTTTTTTTAAACAAAAGTTTCCACCATTCCAAAACTTATTGCGGGCACTAAAGGATAGGATAGAGAGAGCCGCTTTGCCCCAACGTTCAAATCAATCGAACATTCGAACAACAGAATGAACACTCCGTTCGAACATGCATCGCTCTCGATCAACCATTATATTTCGTTGTTGTTCCACCACGCAATTACACTTCCCCCGTACGTTACAGTATTTACAACGACAACCGTTATCGAACCGTTTCTGCTCGAAACCTGTGGCAGAATCACGGATAAACAAGACGAGTCGCGCAAAAACTAGCTCGTACCGTTTCGTACGACGATGGCTCGAATCCGATACCCGCACGAAACATTTAAATCGATCGAGATGACGGAACAAGCGTGAAAGCGACAGCAACCTATTCGAATAAACGGTTGCACCGAGACTGATCCATGGATCGAGGCACGGAGCAGGATCGAGGATTCAGAGGATCCCCCACCATCACCACTCGGTGACTCACCCCCTTCCCTGCCTTTCGATTCCCCGCTGCTCATTTCCAACCGCCACGAACGCTTTCCTTTTTCTCTTGGCCCTTAAACCCTCTTTTTCTCTTCGTACAACGATTTCTCCGAGAAAGAGAGAGAGAGAGAGAGAGAGCACGTCTTCGAGACGCTACGATAATTCGAGATGCCCGTAATAAATGCAAACCGATCCGTTCGTACTTCCAACTCCTGCCATTGTGACTTTGCGTCGATGCTTCCTTGTTCGCGAGATTTTCAGACTTTCGGGACCGACCTTCGCAATTGGAAATAAATGTTGGATAAAATTCCCGTCCTCGTTTTCACCTCTTTTTTGAAAAAAAAAAAAAAACGAATTATATGAGCATGGAATTTTTCTCTATTCATGTATTTGTTAAACATGCATTATTTTTCAAAGGAATTTTATTAATTAACGGAGATATAATATTTCGAGTGATATGATTTTAATATCCTTATATATTTCAAAGAGCAGCGTATAATATATAGTGGATTTGTTGCCGATTTTCTTTATTTTTAACGCGTTTGTTCCGCTTTATTTACAAATTTTTCAAATCTTCCAAATTGAAAAATTGAGGATCGTTTAATTGACGATTTCCATTCGTCTCGTTTTTCCTTGAGATTAGTTTTTTTTTTTTTTTTTTTTTTAAATTTCCCGATGTCCTAATTACTTTTTATCTGCTCCGCTTTTTAAATATTTATTTTTAAAAAATGAATGTCGAATGAAATATATAAAAAATATATTTGAAAAAAATGAGCATAGCAGAAATATCTATAAGAAATGTTTAGAATAAAGGTTAAACGGAAAATGTAAAATGTAATTTACGTCTAAATTCAGATATTTGGTAAAAATTTCGAAATTCTAGTATTCAATTATCGAAATTATCAAATTTATACGAAATACAAACCAAAGATGTATTCTTTTCGCATTAAGGTATTTTTGCATATTACAGTTTCTCATTTTTTATTTTGAATAATAAATTTTCTTACATATATTTTTCGCGATTTTTATTAATTAATTATTCATTTTGATTTAATTATTTTAATAATTAATTTTTTATTTTATTATTTATTTAATTTGTATCATTCTTTTCTTCTTTTTTTGAATAATTTCATGAAATTAATAATTATTAATAATTATTAATCGTTATTAGAAAATATAGACACTTCTAATTCCTAAAAAAAAAAAAGATAATAAAATAAAAGAAAAAAATTATTTGAATAAAATACAATTAAAATGCACTAAAAATTAAAAATAAAATTCTTATAAAAATATGAAAAAAAAAAATAATGTCCGACATTAACGAGATCATAAATTTTTTCCGTAACGATGATTCACAAGAGCAAAAACAGCGTGATAGAGAATTACGTGAGCGTCATAAAAAATCGAGAGACAAGTATGAAAATATGAAATATAAGCAATTATGGAAAATGAGATTAGCCAAATATATAATTAATGATTTGAAAAATTACGGGCCGGCTAATTTAATTCACGTGAACGCATTAAGCTCTCTTACAAAGAGACCCATCCGAATATGGAAATCAATGAATAATTTGTATCGAATAGTAAATGATCAATATTCAAATGAAAGTTCAAATGAGAATTTTATCGATATTGAATATCATGAACAATCATTAAATTCTGTAGGACATTGGACGTTATTAAACAATAAAGATCCTATTAATGTCGAACTTGATTTAAACGCGTGTCTATTCGCAGTGATTGCTGCTCAAATTGGAAAAAACACTAATGATCTAAGAAATAATGTAATTGATTTTTTAACGAGTAATACCAAACAGTTGATTGACCAAATCGATGAATTTACATCCTTAGATAATAACAATGAAAAATTATTAATGATTGGTGGTGCTCGGTATATTGGCACATCACCTAAAGCAGCAAGTATCATACTTGATAAGTCGCAAAATGTATTTAGTCATACATGTAAGGCTTATGGACATCCCAGAGGTCATGTATCCAATGCAGTTGCTACGGGACCGTGCGATAGCGTAGAAAATTATTCACGGACAACGAATTCAATGAAATCTGGTTTTTTAAACAAATCTGATCAAAATAATGTTGCCCATCTCGCTTTAAGCCACGAAGTAGCGCAACAAGCGATGCGAGAATTGAATAATGGAGCAACGTCCATAACAGTAACACTTTCACGACGAGATCTGCAGAAAAATCATCGTACATTACCAAAAATGAGAGAGTACTATAATGGCGAACCATATTCTGAAGAATTAGATATTATCCAAGTTACGTTAGTATTGCGACATCATCAAGATAAATATAACGATCCAAATGCAGATGTTTTTGTACATACATGTTTTCCAAGAAGTTCTTAAATTTCTTATATTTGCCATCATAAATTATTCCTATGATATAGTGTGGAGTAAAATTTGGAAATAGTACTAAATAAAAAAATACATAATTGTTGAAAAATTTTCTTATTTAATATTTATTAACTATGTTAATATCTAACAAACGCTATTTTATAAAAAAAATAAAATAAAATAAAATTTAATTAAAATAATTTTTAGATACAATAAAATAGATACAAAATAGATACAAAAATAATATGTTAATCAACTTCATGAATACACCAAGTCCATATTAATGTTCTTAAACTATTTTTTGCTATCTCAATTTCATCATCATTTTTTAAAAAATCTATTTTAGTTACATATTCACAACCAAAACGTAACATATCGTCACATTCCTCTATATTATCCAATAATTTTTTAGAGAATTCAAGAATTTCTAATATATATTCTTTAGTAACAATTATTTTTATATGCTTTAAGAGAATTAATTTTTGTAAAATATTAATATATAATATAAAGGTCTTAATTTTAATATCTTTAACTAAATATGACTTTAAACATAATGCAATATTTAAAAGCATTAATTTGTAATGGATAACATCTCCTTTTATATTCAATATAGTATTAAGAACTTTGTTCATTATTTTCACTATAAGTTCGATGTGTTGCACTTCATATTTGTGTAAATTTTTAACAACTTCTAATAACCAGGGAAGTAATCCATAACATTCTATAAAAAGTATTGAAGCTTTTGTAATTTTTAATGTAACATTAATAATTTCCAAGATAAGTTTCTAAAATAAAAAATAAGTTAAATCAATTTAATGAAAGAAATTTTTTTTAATTTTTATTTTTTCTTAAATCTTACCTTCGTATCTGAATCTGAAAGACTAGAAATATAAAAGTCTAAAAGTATTTTAAACAAAACACATTTAAAAGCTATCTCCAGTTCAGTTTCTGTTTTCATACTATCACGAATATTTTCCAAAATCCAACATCTATGCATTTTATATTGAATATCCGAACTGTGAAAAAGTTGTAATAATTCAGGTATTGTATTTATATCTAATGCTGGTTTAGCTACAAAAAATATTTGTAAAGTTGAATAAAGTGGATGTAATGGTTGTGTAATTATCAAAGATGTTCTTGCTAAAAATGTAGAAATGAAACAATTTAAACGTATGGTATTAAGTTCCGATTGCAATGATATAATACCATAACGCAATGCATCTATTAATCGCATCCATAATAACTTGGTTTTTGAACTAAAAATGAAAAAAAAATATAAAATTATATCATATGTATTACAATATGTTATATTAATTAAATTATTATTAATTAATATAATATAAAATACCTAGAAGCTTCCAAATGGGTATAATATCTAGAAATAATAGTATAAGCTATCATTCGAACATCAGAATGTTTACTACTACATGCAGCAAATATTAATGCTAATGCTCCACTTTGAGCAACTTTATGACATGATACGATATTATTTTCTGATAATAAAAAATATAATAATGGCAAATAAAATGCTGGATCATATACATCATCTTTTTTATATAATTCATTATTCTATAAAAAATAAATGCTCATATTTAATTATATTATAGTTATAATTTAATTATATTAATTTATATTAATTATATTATAAATTTTCAAATATTTTTAGGATATAAAATATTTTATTAAAACGAAGTTACCTTCAAAGCTCTATCTATAGGATATTCTTTATAGTATTGTTTACTATATTTTCCTCAAATAAACTTAAAACTTGAATAATAGATGGTTCCCTCCATAAAGAAGTATATGTATCATTTTTCACACTGTAATATGTCGCAGCCGTATTTCCCCATACATATGGCTGATATTCAGAAATATTAATATTATTACTTTCATAATATTGTAAAATCTGTATGAAATAAATTTATATATTAATATTTATTTTTAAAAATTAATATAAATTTTTTGTTTAAAATTCTTACAAGTAAAATGAATTGATCAGCTTCACTTAAAGTAGCATTATATGCTGCTAAATAAACAGGTATATGGGTCGGTATCATAACTATTTTATTTTTTTGCATAAGAATCCATAACAACTCTACTAAATCTCCTAAAAATGAAATAAATTAATAAATAATTGTATATAACAAATTATATTATTATTATTATATACCTACTTATTAATATCTTACTTTTAGTATCTGATGAATCCAACATAATATTAATAAATTCTGAATGAGAAGTTGCCATTTCAAACAAAATTTTGACATGTTCATCATTACTGTTATTTTCATATGCAATATCACATAAAGCACTTAATGTTTTTAATATTTTCACTGATTCTTTATTATTTTTCATTTCTTTTAGACCAAATTTTAAAGAAAATCGTATAAATTGTGTCCATGAATGATTACAATTTAATGCTTCAAATCTAAAATCTTTTCTTTTATTTTTTAAATGTTTAATAGCATCATTTAAAACTTCACAAAGAATTTGAAGTTTTTGAATATTTTTAGATTCTTTTTTTAAAGTTACAGTAATTATATGAAGAAAAATTTGTGTCAAATTCATGATCAATTTTTCATTCTCCATTTCTGAGACAGCAGATTTATTATATATACTTTGGAGAATTTGTATATATTGTATAGATATCATATCTAATTTATCACCAATTTGTAAAATAATATCACATATATCATGACATTTTTTAAAACAAAATGTGGTTTTAATTAAATAACAAATTGCAATAACATTTTCTTCTATCCAAGATTTTGTATCTTTTGGATTACACAAATAAGATATTATTTCAATTTCATAATATTTTCTCAAATTTTGTAAAAAATCTAAATCCCATTTAAAATTTAAATTACTTGCAACTATAGGTAATACAATATTACCTCTTTCTATATTTTTAGATTTTGTTATATATTCTACAAAAATGGGTATAAACTTTATATTTTTTTTAATAAGAAGTGAAATTAAATTTACAGTTGTATTTGTCATTTTTGTTGATAATAATGATGTAAAAATATCTGCAATTATATAATTCACATAATTGTAATAAAATATAATAATAAAAAACTTAATATAATGATATCTCGTTTAATACATTAATAAATCTCTATAAAATGTTAATTTGAATATAAAATGTATATAAAATAAATATCAATTATATTAAAAATTATTTAATTATTTTTCAAATTTATTACATGTATATTAAAAAATATATTTCTATTTAAATATTCATATAAAATTAAAAAACAATAAAAAATTATAAATGTTTTCATTGTATAAATAAAATTAATGTGATTTAAAATTCTAAAATCTAAATTTAAGTTATAATTCTTTAAATAATAAAAAATAATTAAAAAATTATTTCTTCATATAACAATTTATTATAAAAATATTGCCTGATATTAATTGAATCACATTAAATGAAAAATATTGCAATTTATAAACTCGAAATATTAAATAAAACTGTGTTAAACAAGAATTGCTTATTACAATAAAATAATATAATATTATAAAAATATGAAAATATATAATTTATGAAAATAACTTACTAATATCAATGCCACCAATATTGAACGAAAAATTTAAAAAATATTCATATAATGCTATTTCCCATATTTCACAATTCATAATTAAATTTGATTTTAAAAATAATAAATGCAAACATAGATCTTTAATGAATTCTGCATTCAATTCAAAAAATATATTTCGTTCGGATTTCATTTCGTTGTTATTAATTATTTGTAAGAGTTTCGGAACTACATATCCATATATTGATAAATTTTTATCATTTGAAATAAATATAATACTCTCCAATTTTACTAATCTTTTTAATAAACAGACAATATCTTTTGATGTCAGTTGTAATATCTCTAACAAAGTAATGATCATATCAATATTATTATTTTTTCATCTTTTTCTTTTTTGTCTATCATTTTATATAGTTGTATTAGTAATTTATTTTTGAAATGAAAAAATAAATTTTTTATATTATATTCTTTAAATAAAGCAATTATTACATTACAAATATCAATAAGCATAAAAGTCATCATAGTTTTTAAAATGTTTTTTTGATAAAATGGAGAAAAATAATACAAAATAATAGGATGAGTAAAAATTGATTTTGCACATTCATCTAAAATAATATAATTATTTGAACTACTCTTTGCAATATGTAATAGTGATATTAAAAATATCTTATAATTATTACATTGCATTTTCGTTAAAACACCTCTTTTAGTAAATTGAACTAAATAAAATATAGTCATTTTAAAGGAGTATATAATTTCATATGTTGATAAAGAATGATGAATTATTATATTCTCCTTATTATATTGAAAAGTAATCATATTGTTGCCATTAAATATTTTGTTTATTTCAGTATTCAGTAATTCAGTATCATTTAAAAATACTGAATTTAATTTATATATTAAAGTCATAGAGGAAATATTTTCAAGATAAACAGGTTCATTGTTTTCTAACCAACTTAATAAATATTCTCTTACTGGTAATTTTTTAATATCTTTAGCTAAATGAATTAAACATTGAGGTATTACTTGATAATGCAATGTATGTACTAAAATATAAGACAAATAAGATAAAATTGAAGGATGTGACTCTTTCTTAGTTTTATGTAACATGCAACATAAAAGAGGTGATATTGATGTAAAATGTTGCATATGTAAAATATTATTTTCAAAATTTTCGTAAATAACAGACTTATTCATTAATTCTGCAAAAAACAAAGAAAAAATAATATGATTGCATTTAATATATTAATATATTGAACTAATAAATCAAATTTTACCATCAAATATATTTTGAAATCTATCAATATGAATTGCTCCTTGATCAAAAATTTCTTCAGTTTTAATTATTTCATTTACATATTTTTCAATATCGTTAACCGCTTCTTTTATAATATGAATAAACCATTTTATTACTTTTTTTTATCATCTAAATTTATAAAACCATTAATCCAAATATTCAAATGATCATTACATTCTTCAAACATTCCTGTATTGTTTAATAAAATTCGGATTGTTGTTTTTATATTCAATGCAGTTGAAGATACTTCTTCATTTAAAATAGATATTAAGAATGATAATACATTATTAAATAATTTCTGGAAAGAATAAAATATTTTTATAAATATTATTTATAAATATAAAAAAACTTATAATCAATGATTTATAAATTATTTTACATACTTTATGTGGAAAAAACTCATAAGGATATAATATGACTAAAAAATGAATAGCTTTTACTTTTATAATATTGAATTCAATGACACTTATATCTTCTAATTTATTTAATATATTTAAAAATGTATCACATTGCATATCAGATATTATGTCTAGTAATTTTGGACATATTTCATTATACATATGTAATAAATTTAATATAGCTGTTAAATGTTCATATCTATTTGGTTCTATAATGTTTTCTTTGTCATTATTTTCAACTAAATTTGATATGAAAGTAGAATTCCATACATTAAATATCACGTTTAAATTTGGTATATTCTAAAAAAAATATTTATTATTTAATATAGTATAATAGTTATTTTTATGCTTTAAAATTTATTTAAAAAAAAATATTAATATTTAATGCTTTATGCTTTTTAGAATTACATATACCTTCATTATAAACTCTGTTAAAAAATTTTTAAACATACAAAAATCATCATTTTTGTAATTTGTTTTTAAAATTGATAAATATTTTTGTATTTGATTAAATATACTAGTAAGTGTAAGTATTGCCTCATGTCGTATTATTATATTAGAATGAGACAAAGCTGGTACAATTGCTTGTTTCAAAATTATTATTGGTATAGTTAGAGGTATTATTGCATTAGCTAATTGCAATATATTTAATTGTAATGAACATATCTTTTTACAAGTGTTTATATCTAGTGACTGTATCATCTGTAATAATATTTATTCATATTAAAATTTAGAAAATAATATTAAAATTAATTATAAGAATATTATAATATATAAAGAAGAATACTATATAAAATATAATATATAAAGTAATATAAAGAATAAAAATTTAAACTACTTACTTCTCTTATAAATTTTATTGTTGCAATCCATTTCAATGACACTTTGGGTTCAATATGTGGTTCCAAAAGAACAAATTGAGATTTAATTAAATCTGGACATGCTGCCATTATTTTAATAACTAAATTTGATGGTTTTTCATATTGCCAAGGTCGATCTAAGCTTTGAAGTACTACATTTACTATATTATTATGTTTAATATGTGAAGTACCAAGCATATAATCATGAAAAATAATGCCATATCGATGTGATGTTAACAATATAATTAAAAAATCATGCACGATTTCAATAACTACCTAAATTAAGACATGTTTTATTAATTAGTATTAATATTAAATATAAATATATCTTATATTGATACATTAATTATTATTATATAATTAATTATCAATATTTTTAATTAAAAAGTTTTAATAATAAATACCTCTTTTTCTTCAAGATATTGTGTTTCTGGTATAAAACTTTTAAATTTTGGGTGATTATTTGGACCCTTCCAATTATAAAGACATATAAGATTTTGAATAATTGATGTTGAAAATAACTGTAACTTCATAGTTTTGCTAACATTTGGATTTTGAAGAATATAAGTTTTAAGAGTAGTTAAAATTAAAATAATAATATCTTTGGAATCATATATTAAATCAAAAAATATATGAGAAAACAAATCACGTTTATCCAAAAGAAGTCTGATAATTGATACATTTCCTTCTATTAAAAAAGCCATAATAAAATGAATAAAACAATTTCTTATATTATCATTATCTGTAGGTTTTCTATGTTGTATAAGAGATTTAATAACTTCTAATGGTAAAGACAAATGAATAAGTAATTCGCGTGATAGATTTGAATCTAATGAAACTATTGCAGCAAGTAATTGTAAAATTATTTTTTGTTGCTTTGCATTACTTTGTATAGATAACATTGAATGAATTATTGATAAATTTGAATTAATCAAATGACGACATGCCTCTTTTGCATTAGATTGATATTGTGGATATTGTCCTAATATTCTAAACACAAACAAAAATTAACATAAATATTAAACATATAATTATGCAATAATTTAATAAGTATAAACTTTGAATTATAATTATATAACATTTACTTTATTATTAATATCCTTATTGCAGAAAACACAATTATAGCAATATTCGTTTCTTTTTTATCTGCTGTATTTAATAATCTTAATATATCAAAAATATTGCCACCTGCATTTAAATATTCTGCAGCCAAATCTTTTTCTTTGTTTTCATTGCAAATTTTTATAAATTCTTTTAATATATCTAAGTCATTTGTAGAGTTGAAACTTTCTTTAAAAAATTTTCCATCTAAATATTTTATTATTTTATCCATCTTATATTTTTTATTTTGTTTATCTTTTTTATTAATTTTCACATCTATAAAAAAAAATAATATAATTATATAAATAATTATACATAACATAAAAAGATACATGCAATATTTAACAAATTTAAAATATTCATTTTATATATTACCTTGAAATTTTTTTAGTGATTCATTATCAAATTTTTTTGTACAATTCTCATAAGAAATATCATCTAACATTGAATTTATAATATTTCTTTTCTTTCGTTTTGTATTTATGTTAGTTTCACAAGATAATTTTCTTTTGAGCATTTTTTTATTATTATATTTTATATTTATTATTGTACTTTATATTTATATCAATTTATATTTATATTTTAATATTAATTATATTCAAAACTTACATCTGAAATTAGAAATCTTAAATAAAATTTATTAAATATTTTAAAAAGTTCAATGAACTTGAAAATAAAAATAATTAAATCTATTTAAAAAATTGTTCTAAAAATTATATAATAACATGAAATTCTTAATAATATAAATAATATAAAATTCATAATTAAAAATTTATAATAATATACAATTCTATTTTTTAATTCTAATTTTTTAATTTAATACTAATTGTCATAACATAGTAAATATATATATATATACATAATTATAAAATAAAAAATATTATTTCATGATATACGAAATGTTACAAAATAAAATTATATCACTTTTTTTCTCAATATTAGTTTCGATATTATATTATTTATATTTTATATTATATTTTTTATATTTTTCATTATGTAATAAATATTATATATTGTATACAATACAATGAATTTATAACCTATACCAACAGAAAATAACCACGTGCACTTTTCACTTATATATTAAGCAATAATCATTAACCATACATTAGCTACCAATTATCATCGATTATTTCCGATTAAATATAACCACCAAAATTAATAATCATGGTCACATAATCAAATGATGAATGTCGTTCAAATTAAATATATTCTATCATCAACTTCAATTCTAATGTTTCATGTAATCCAACATAAATAGAAGACAATTTTTTACGCATGTCATTTATTATTTAGATTTTAAATTAATATTAATTTTCAGTCTTTATTTGATACAAAACAACTTTTTATTATTGAAAATTTAAATATAAGTAAAAATAGAATATAAAGATTATTTATTTATAAAATTTATATATATCGTTTATATTTTGATAAAAATTCAGTTTATTATATCAAAGTATTTATATCATATTAAATATAATACATTTTATGCAATTTGAATATCTTTAATAATAATATTGTTTTTGTATGTATAATTGTTTTATAACTATAAATATAAAATTGCAATATTAAATAAAAATATACATATATTTTTATAAAAAACGAATGTAAATATACATATATATTTTTTAATAATAATATTTTGTATATAATATATATACAACATTACAGTCTTATAGCATTAATTTCCAAAATTTTACATTATATTAAATTTTATTAAAATTAACAAATATCTATTTTTATTTTAAATTATGGCCACTATTATAAATATCACGAAATATTTATTATATTATGTTTGAGCTAATTACTTGAAAACTTCTTTTAATAGAAACATGTGGGTATTGTTGACGCCATTCTTGTATAATAAAATCATTAATACCTTCACAAAAACTAAGATCCATCATTTCTAATTTAGGGCAAAATAATAAAATTCCATAACATATATCAGGAGTAAGAGAACGAGCTCCTAATAAATCCAATTGTTGTAATCGTTGACATAATAAAAGTGGTTCTAAGTCGCGATCTGTTAATCCTCTAAGTGCTGCTAAAAATACTTTTTCCAAATAGCGACATGAAAATAATAATGCTCGTAAGGAATCACCAGGAGCACCCATACCACCGCTATAGAAATAATTATTTTATTACAATAGATAAAATTGAACATTAAAAATTATATAAACAATATTTTTTTTAGAACATACCACCATCCAAAATCCACTTCTCGAAGTTTAGTACAGTGAGCTAAAGCTCTGACTCCATGTGGAGTTAAAGTTTGTGCTTTCCAAAAATCTACACTTTCTAAATATGGACAAGAATTTCCTAACTCAACAGCAACTTCATCTATATTTAAACGATCATGCATTCCTGCTAAATTTAAATGACGCATTTGAGTATTCTTTTTTAAAATAGAACATAATGTAGAAGTTTCTATGCTTGTTCTGTAAAGATCTAAACGTTCTAGATATTTTAAATTTTCGAGCTTTGAAAATCCTTCGTTCGTTATGCCCATACAATTACACAAACATAATTCTAAAAATTAATATAATAATATAATAATATATTATGCTTGAAATAATTAATTTATATAATTAAAATCATTGAAACAATAGTAATATATATAATAATAATAAAATTTTATTACCTTTTAAATTCTTACATATTTTTGAAATTTCAAGAATAATAGAATCATTTACGAATTGACAACAATTTAATCTTAAATGTGTCAAAACAGTTCCAGATGTACGAAGAAAATATATAAAATCTTGATACTTAATCATATTATAATTTCCACACCATGAAAGATCTAGTTGTTGCAAATAATGACACCTAGGTGCTAAACTATTTAATGCAGCTGTATCTAAACAATACCAGTAAGGCTTTAAATTAAGACTTGTATACAACAAAGCATCTCTTGCAATATTATTAAAATGTTTATTTACTCTGCATAAACAACATAATGATCTTAAATCTAGATTTTTTAAAATTTTTAATACGGTTTCATCCTAAAATAAATAAAATTATATTAAAATATAATAAAAATAAAATAAATATATTAATAATAAATATTGTTCTATTAATTTCTAAAATTTATATAATATAATAATATAATAAATTAAATTATTTTACCGGAAGTATTGAAAAACTGCAATATGATTGATTTTCGAAATCACTTGAAGATACTAAAAATTTTTTCTGAAGAGAATTATTTTGTTCAGTAGTATTTGGTATTGAATGATGAATATCTCTAATAAGTTTTGGAAAATCTTCTTGTAAAAATTGTTGTAAACTGTTGAATGCTTCTTCTATAGGAGGAACAGATTGATAATGTTGACCTATTTTAGATATTAATTTACCCTTGGATACATTATCTATTACTTTACTGTAATAATCGATAAATATATATCACATTCATTAACATATTAAAATACTAAATATAAACTTATTAAATTATTAAAATATCAATGATTAATATCAATATACCTTTTAAAAAGTTTACAGTGTTTAGAAAGTGTCTTTTTAAGAATTGTTAAATCTTGATTTGCTTTTGAATAATCTGGTGTTAAATTATAAATGTCATCATCATTTTGTTTAAGATACCCCAATTCTTGTGAAAGATCATTTAAATTTTGATTGTGCAAGTTATTAGGTACAATTAATTCTGATGTACCAATAAGTAATACAGCATCTAATTCTGTATAATAGTCTAATAAAGTATGATTAAATTCCAGTCTTATTACTTTTGTCTTAAAATTACATAGCTGCAAATATGGAGAAAATATTCGTGGCTTGTGTGGCACAACTTGAGGAAATCCATTCCATAATTGATACCACTTGCCTTCGGAATTTTTTGCCCAAATCCCAATTACACTTCCAGGATTGTAAGTTTCATATATTGATACTCTAATTGGATATACCTCTTGATAATATTCTAGATCTTGATAATATAAAAAATATTCTAATTTATTTCCATTTTTCATAAGTATTAATGGTATCAGTATAATATTCCAATAAGTTAAAAATATCTTTAAGAATAAAAACATAAAATATTAAGAAAAATGATTGAGATATTATATAAATATTAAATGCTAAAAATATTTAATTTTTAATTTAAATATCATACCTATATAATCCTGGCTAGTAATATTTATATTGTTCTGTGGCATATAATCTATTAATCTTGAAGGTGCTTTATCCCACCATTGTCCATATGTTCTCTAAAATTATAATTTATTGAATATAATATAAATATTGCTATAAATATATTAATTTCATTTATTATCTTATAACTTTATATAATGAACATCATATTTTATATATATGTTAAATATATTAAATATATTAAATATATATATATATTTAATATATTACCATATATATATATATATATATATATATATGGTATTTTACATTAATAAACATTATTAAAAACATTATTATTATCATCATTATTAAATATTACAAATTATTTTATTAATTACAATATTTTTTTATGAAAGTTATTTTAAAGATTCAAAAAATATTTAATATGACAATATCTAAAATTTTTAATTTAAAATAAATTATTATTAAATTTAATATTATTTTATGCTTTTATCAACTTTCAGTAATTCCAATTATATTCCTAAACAAAACATTATTATTGTAAAACTATTAAAATATTATTAATAATTTTGATATATAATTTCAACAAAATTATTTCATTTTATGAGAAATAGTTTAATATTTCTAATTATTTTTTTTATATATTTATTTATAATTATTTGATCTAGTAATTTTGAAAAAATTAACATACCATAACAAAAGCTTGTGGAAAATCACCATAATCAGGAAATTTACTTGGATTTCCAGCAATATTATAGGCTGTATATGAAATACTAATGTTACTTCCATATTGCGAACTAAAATCACACACATCTTTAACAAACTGTTCAACAAAAATAACAGTTTCTTCTTTTCCTTCAATTCTTTCTCCATTTATCGGTACTACTTCAACTTTTATCTCGTCATGTGATATCATGTCATTCACAATTAATTAAAAAGTTTTAACTTTAAAGTTCAATTAATGTAGGTTAATCACTTTAAGATTTACTATTTTTATAATTACTTATATGATCTACATAACAAGTTTTATGAACATTTAAAAAGTTATAAATAAGATTTAATAATACAAGAAAAGAATTTTATTATCTTTTACTCTTGTTTTAGTACAAAAAATGTATAATACATATACTTTTTTGAACACACTAACTATGCATGTATTCATGCATTAATATTTTCGTATTTAAAAAGTACTAGAAACAATATTTATTTATATAGACATCTTTTATAAATTAAAAATTATTTTAGTATTGAATTTTTCGTATATAAACAAAAAATGTAAAATAAATATTATTTTTTCAATTTATTTTGCATCATACATTTTTTAAAAGAATATTTATATTTTTCTTATATTTCGTTATATTATTATTATACGCAATAGAATAATTATATTTATGTAATTAATATACTTAATTAAAAGATTGAAAATATTAAAAACAAAAAAGCATATTAATCAATATATAATAAATGTGATGTATTTTTTTACATTATTTTAATTTATTTTAATATAAAATTTATAAAATATTATAAGTAATACTGAACTTTTTTACTTATATTATTTTACAATTTTAAATATAATATTGGTAATAATTAATAATTACAACTTCTTTTTTATTATGTTTTTAAAGTTTTATTAATATGCTTTAATAAAAAAAAATGTAATATTCTTTTAAAACAATAAATCAAAATTTTAATTTTAAATTAATTCTAAAATATTATTTATTTTACTATGATTATAATATAATTAATTTAAATTTCTTTTACAGTTTGTTGTTTTTTTTTTCTTCTAATTTCCAAAGAAATTAATTTGAAATTATATTAAAATTAAAATATATAATAATATATTTAATATTAATTATATTTAATTTTAATTTATAGCAAACATTATTATAAATTCTAGAATCCTTATGTATTAAAATATTTTAATATCATTCTTTCTCTTCTTTTTTGTTGCTCCATTCTTGCTTCTTTTAATTTCCGTTTAGGTATACTACGTAATGCCATATTCCAATTCTTAGTTCGTTTTAATTCTAATAAAATAGAAATAATTTGATTGATAGGAAGATTTTTTGAAGATGATGTTCCCCATTCTAACATCTCACTCAAAGGTAACTTCATCATTTTAATACCTTCTTTATTAGCTTTTTGAAATGAATATGGTTTAGATTCTTTCTGAAAATATTCATATATTTATATATATTAATTCTTAAATATATAACAAAAAATTTGTCTTTTTAATGTCATTATTATATAATAATTCATAAAATTTTATATATATATATATAATATGTATATATATGTATATAATTATGTATATATATATATATATACATATTTTCTATTACTTTTTTATATATTTTTTCTCTATTTATATTAAATTTAAATTAATAGTTATAAATTATTTATATATTTATATATAATTATATATATTATATATATTTATATATAATTATTTATTTATATATAAATTAAAGTAACTTACTTTTATGATAAAGTTTTATTTACAATATAAATTTTTCATTTATAACATAAATTAAAATGATATAGAATATCATATAGAATATAGAAATGTAGCATTAATTACCTTATCTACTATTGCACCAATTATATATATTAGATTAGGATCAAATTTTTTTAGAGTTGTTTCAGCATTAGGAGTAAGATACACTAATTTGTTTTTATCAAATATTTCTAAATAGGATTTTGAAGTAATATTTAATGGAAAATGTGGTTCATATAACTGTGGTATTGTTTTATGTAATTTTTGCATAACAGAACTATCTTTGCGCACATTACAAAAATAAAGATTAAAAGGTTCCTCATGTATTCGATTGGTTGAAAAAGATAATAATAATTGTTTTGCACAATTTTCTCGTTCAAATGGTTCCATATATTCATCATATCCAAGATCATATATTATTATTGGTTCATGTAACATAGCACTTATCAGCCTGCTATTGTAATATTCATTTATTGTTTTGTCACGTATGCGGAAAAATAATGAATTGCCTATTGAATATTGATTATTCTTCTTAATTTCTATTTCTTTCTCTTTTTTTAATAACTTCTTTTCTAGTCGATGTTTTTCTTTTTGTTCTAATTTCCAAAGAAATTCTATATAAGATCTAAATATTTATGAGAAAAAAAAAATTAGAAAAAAATGAGAATTAAAATAAAAATAATTTTTAAATAATTTTTATTTTCAAATTAATATTAAATCCAACCTTCTTTGTCCTTTTGCTGATGATTTTAGTAAATATAACCAGTTAGATGGTGTTAATGTTTTAGGTACTTTTCCTGTATTATACTTTATGTATTCTAATTCTAAATTATATCTATCGTAAATAGCTTTATATTTTGGATCTTCTAGAAGTGTTTTTAATTCTTCTTCATTTAATTTGTTATAATGTTCAAATATTATCTTATTTGGGTTTTCTTTACAATAATGCCGTACATATATTTGCATAGGAATTCTAAATTGTGAAATTGTGATTTTATGTACATTTTGAATAGAAACATTAGAATAAAATTTAGTTACAAAAGTAACAAAATTTAAATAAAATCGATTATACATTTTTAAATATTATAGACTTAATAAAACATACTATTATATATATTTTATATTGTAATGTCGCTACTATTGCATCAAATACAATATCATAGACAAAATATAAGATAGATGGATCTAAATTCGTGTTAAATTTGAGTTTAGCCTCATTATGAAATTTAAGTTTGATCTAAATTATAGTACAATTTGAATTTTATAATTAAAAGATAATTTAAATTTACTTTAATATTATTAATATTTCTTAATTATTAATATTATTAATATTATTAATATTTCTATTATTCGAAATATATAAAAAGCTATTGATGATATTTATGTTAAATTGCGAAATTTTACATGCATATGTAACTTTTGTATTTTGAAAGTTATATTAATTTTAAAACTAATATTTTCGAATTCTAAGTATTAAAATCTATTAAAAAAAATAAAAATATTCAAAAATTTTTTTTTAATAAAAGATTTTTTAGTAATTTTAATTAATTTTATGTTATATTTTTGCAATTTTTACAAATATTTTTTTAATATTTTTAATTTTTTATGTAATCAATTTTATATAATATGTATAATATTTTAAAAATATCAGATTAAAAGAAATCTTCACATATATATATTTTTAATCATATAATTATTCAAATCATGGTTATATGATCACCTTAACAACAGTTTAATCATTAGTGATATTCAAATTTTTATATATATTTTATACATATTTTATACGTAGCGTGATAACGTGATTTTATCTTTTATATCGAAAATATAATAACAATAAAATTTGAAAGTATCTTTTAAACTATGGTTTTGTTAGGTGAAACATTTCCAAATTTTGTAGCAAATAGTCAAATGGGTCCAATTAACTTCCATGATTGGCTAGATAATTCGTAAGACAATTTTTCTTCCTAAACATAACCTTTATTATTATTATCGGTAATTTCTTAATACATACATAATATGTATGCTCGATAATTATAATTTGTAAAATTTTTATATTAATTTTTCATTCATAATTTTTTCTTATAAATACGTTAATCATTCTTTATATAATTTCAAATTATTCTCTTATTCTCTATATAATTTGATATTTTCATTTCAAATCATTCAATAAATCATATAAAAATATTTTATTATTTTAATCCAAGATGATTTTTAAGTTATGAAATTAATTTTACAGATGGGGTATTCTATTCTCGCATCCAAATGATTTTACACCAGTTTGTACAACTGAGTTAGCTCGAGTATTAAAATTAATGCCTGAATTTGAAAAATTAGGAGTAAAAGTTATTGCGCTATCGTGTAATTCAGTCGATTCTCATCGTAAATGGATTGAAGTATACTTTTCATTATAATTATCTTGTTCATTCATTAATATATATATTAATTATATTATTATAATTGTTATAAATTTTTAAAATAATTATTTTTCAGGATATAAAAGCTTATGCCGAAGTAACAGATAAAGAATTTCCTTATCCAATAATAGAAGATGAAACGCGAAAACTTGCAACATTGTTAGGAATGTTAGATCCTTTAGAAGTTGATAATAATGGTATACCTATGACTGCCAGAGCAGTATTTATTATTGATCCTGCTAAAAAAATGCGATTATCAATTTTATATCCTGCTACTACTGGAAGAAATTTTGAGTAATTTTATTTTTACATTTCACAAATGTTTAAAATTTTTATTTTTAATTATATATATTTTTTAACATAATTTTTGAACACAGTGAAATTTTGCGAGTCATTGAATCACTACAATTAACTGAAAAGCATAAAGTAGCAACTCCAGTTGATTGGAAGGTTTGCATTTATTTTATTTTACTAATTAAAACATTACTACATCTGTAAAAAAAATTAATTTTGTTTCATGATTTTTAGATAGGGGAAGAAGTAATGATTCAGCCCATTGTTTCTGATGAAGAAGCAAAAAAGTTGTTTAACAATATTAAATTTGTATCATTACCATCGGGTAAATCTTACGTGCGCATTGTATCGCAACCGCTGTAAAAATAATACTTTAAAAGAAAAACCATTATACAATGTAAATATATTTTCTTAAATTATTAAAATCGATATTTGTAAAAAAAAAGTAAAAAGTACATATTTAATAATATATTAAATTTTTCTCAATATTATACTATTATTATTCCATGAAATACAATTATAAATAAGCGTATCCCTTTTAGTGCCTTAACATTGGTATATGGCAGCATATAACTCCAAAAAAAATATAAAAATGAACAATTTTTATTTAAAATTTCTTATCAATAATTCACGGTAAAAATAATTAAAAACAATTCACTAAAATATATTTAAGAAGTTTTGTATACTTTTAAGTTTTCATTGGTCATATTATTATCCATGCACATTCTTCACTGATTCTATTAATACAATTCATAATTTATTTTTTATAGATCGTTCATTGTTAGAGGTATACGTAATTATCAAAACAAAGATTCTAATATTGGCATTTGCAAACAACAAAAAAAGCTGTTTATTGTATCACCTAATGTAATTAAAAGTACACTGTGTTATATACATTTCTCCAAGTACACAATCACTTATAATTTCTAGGCATAATGTATATAATATTTACACTGTTTTTTATTAAGTTATTACTAGATTTACTTTACTACATTATGATTATATCTTATGTTTGAATGATCCGCAAACTGTTGCGCGTCTACGCAATAGTGAGATAGCAGTTATATAAAACAGTCCCTCGTCAAAACCAATAAAGATCATAAAGAATAATAAATTTAACAAAATTATACTTTGTTATCGTAATGTTATATAATTAAAAGTTAATTACCACACAATATATCGAATGATAAAATACTATTGCCAGCCTTCGTACTTAACAGCTTCAATGTTATACATTCACAATGATAGCAATGGTAATGTGTACATGGTTTACTTGTATTTGTCCCATTATTTCCATATAAACTGGAAAAATCAAATTCTACAAATGTTTTCTCTTTCTTTTTTTAAGTTCTTTGAATGCACTTGTGCTCTATTTAATTAAGAAATGAACGTTGTTTTATTGATTCATTCATATGTATAAATGTTTATGAATCGATAACTTTTTGTGAATCGTTGTGCGAATACTACAGAAATTTGCAGAAAAGTAATCGCAACAACGGAAGATTTGATCATTAACACTAGTATTATTTAGAACTCACTTAAAAAATTCACTTCACTCATTTGTATGAGTTTCTTGTTGATCTGATTGTAGTTCACCTTCCATTCTTGCTTGTCGTTCTGCCGCTGCTCTCGCTTGTCTTCCAGCACTAGAACGAAGATTTTTTCGTTCTGGAGGAGGTTCTACATTTAATCGTTTTCCACTTCGTGCTTTTTTCCCTTTAGTACCTTTATTATCTTCTTCCATTTCTGATGATAGCTTCGATGAGTCACTTTTAATATTAGTAGTACTTTGTGATGCAATTGCATCTTCTAAAACCGTTGTTATCGATGTTGTAGATGTAGGTGTAGTTATAGACAGTGGTGTGGGTGTAGATATAGGTGTAGATGTAGGCGTAGATGTAGGCGTACATGTAGGCGTTGGTGTACGTGTAGGTGTAGATGTAGGTGTGGCAGTAGGTGCAACTGCAACTGTAACTGTAGTTGAAATATTTGTTACTGCAGCAGTTATTTCATCTATTTCTTTCTTATTAGTATTCAAAGATATTTCATTATATGCATTAATTTCTTCTACAGAACTTTGTTTAATTGTTGTATTTGATGAACGTGTTCCTTGTTCTTCAATTGTCGTTATATCTGAAGTTACAGTGGTTGTTACGGCAGTTGTTGCAGGTCGTGTGTTAACTTCAATTTCAATTCTTGGCTTTTTATTAACAGGTTCAAGAGTTACCTCAAGCATACTTGATGTTTGTTGCTCTGAACTTTGATTATGATCATTACGACTTCTTTTGTCATTCAATCGTTGTTGATCTTCTAGATTTCTTGTTAAAAGTTCTGCACTAGTTCTACTTAAATGTTCTAGAGCTTCTTTCATTTCTTGTTCCTTATTTTTCCTTTCAGTACGTCTTTCAGAAAGATCTGCCACATCATTCTGTTCCACAGTTTCCCGTTTTTCTGGTTCTAGTCTACGTCTTTCTTCATTATGTAAAGTCATATCCGTATACTGCTGCAATGTTATTGTAGGATCAATAGTATATCTAGATTTCTTCTCTGCATCTTTTCGTTTAGTCGTTGATTCGGTAATTGTATCACGTTGCCTCGAATTATTCGTAGAAGATGCAGATTTACGAATTGTTGAGGCACTCGAAGTGGATGGATTTAATAACCCACATTGGGCAAGACTTTCATAGGCCGATGATACTCCACCCGGTTGCATTGAAAATGGATTTAAACCACCCAAACCCAATGGTGTGTACAAAAGACTGGGATTTGGGAAAAAGAAGGGAAATGGTGTCGTTGTTGATATTGTAGACGATGCTGATGAAGTTGAAGGCACCGAAGATTTACTTGTAGGAGGGTCCAATTTACTACGAGATGATTTACTAGCACTAGTAATATTAGTTGAACCTGTGTTCTTGCTACTGACAGAACTAACAACAGGATTGGTCTCAGCTGTTGTACTAGTTGCTGTTGCACCCAATGCAGCTTCCATACCTGCTAAAGATGGTAAACCAAGACCAGCAAGATTTGCGAATAAAGAATTTGTTAAACTCATATTACTTAAGTTACTGAGATTGCCCAGTCCGCTTAATGCACCCAGATTAGGTAAACCACCAAATGGCATTAAAAGAGGATTATTCTTCGGATCAAAATTGCCAAGAGAAAGACCAGACAAAAGAGAATTATTTAAATTACCGAGCGAAGGAAAGTTTAAACCTGAAGCCATTGATGTAGCTGCTAAATTAGCTTGATTTGCAGATTGTTGACTAGTAGGACTTGGCATCATAGGTGGTCTTCCTGGGCTCTTGCCCTTATTAACATAACTTCTATCATTTCCGGATAATCTTTTTTGTAAATCGTGTGGGAGATTTCCACGTTCTTTTACCAATTCAGCCCATTT